TGACAAAGCAGCTTTCCATGTATTTCCTCAGGCCTGTTTTGGAAGTACAAGTTCCTGGAGACTCTGGGGCTGGTGTGACTTGCACTGTGCCACTGCCATGCTGTGTTAGAGATGCCAGTCCTGACCACTGCCTACTTCATTGCCGTGCTGAGGTTTTAGATGAGCCAATGGGCCTACACTGACAATGCTTCTCTATAGGGATCAAACCTGTGGTCTCAGTGTCCCTGAGGTGAACTAATTGCTCAGATGACTTATACGTTCAAAGGTGCATTAACCATTAATGCCACTACAGTCCCATCCTGATAAAACCTCTCTCTCTCTCTTTTTTTAATCCTCACCTGAGGACATTTTTCCATTTTTTGTTCAGGTAGAGTGGGAAGGAGAGAGAGGAAGAGAGAGAGAGAGAAACATCGATGTGAAAGGGACACATCGAGTGGCTGCCACTCACACGACCAACTGGGGCCGGGGACAAACTGCACCGAGGTACGTGCCCTTAGCAGGAACCAAACCCGGGCCTCTCTGGACTGTAGGCCAACGCTCTAACCGCCGAGCCAAACCGGCCGGGGCGATAAAACCTCCCTAAAACTTGCACAGAATCGGGAGCTCTTGATGCTAAAATCTACCTGTAAGCCACAAAAGCAGAAGTAGCTACGTTACCTGGCCACAAAGCTGGCAGTCTTGTCAACAATATTCCTGACCTCTGGAGGAGGGTAAATAATCCCCACCACTGGCTTAGAAGGGGTAGAATCCTCCTTCGAAGATGCATCTTCTTCTGTGGGCTGTGAAAAAAGAAAATAGTCTTGAAGTTCTGGCTTGGAGCTGGACACCCAACCCCCTCCCAGGTTAAACCCTTCTAGGATATGATTGAGAGCATCAAACTCTCTTCCCCAGACCTCCTTTGGCTTAGAACCCACTGTTCCAGAGAGTGGTTTTCTTTTTAATCCTCACCCAAGGACATTTTTTCATTTATCTTCAGATAGAGAAGGAGGGAGAGAGGAAGAGAGAGAAACATCGATGTGAGAGAGACACATCGAGTGGCTGCCAGTCACATGACCCCAACCAGGGCCAGGGACAAACTACAACCGAGGTATATGCCCTTAGCGGGAACCGAACCCGGGAATCCCTGGTCCGTGGGCCAATGCTCTAACCGCTGAACCAAACCCGCCAGGGCAAGAGTGGTTTTCTTAATTATACTATGTTTGCAAAGGACCCTCCTGGGTAGTTAAAAAAAAAAAGCAGCTTTTCTGGCTCCACCAGCTAGACTGTGTCAGTGACACCAAGGATCTGCATTTTTACTAAAAGCTCAGGTGATTCAGATGCAGAGGGTCTCTGACCACATTCTGAGAAGCCATATTCCAGAACACAGAAGGCCCTCACACCAAGGGATGTGCCTGGTATGGGATATTTAGTGACTGTTTGCCAAAACAACAACAGAAACTCCTGCCAGGCCGGTGTGGTTCAGTGGTTGAGCATGACCCATGCACCAAGAGGTCACCAGTTTGATTCCCAGTCAGGGCACATGCCCAGGTTGTGGGCCAAATCCCCAGTGGGGGGCAGGCAGGAGGCGGCCAATGATGTTCTCTTTCATCAATGTTTCTATTTCTCTCTCCTTCTCCCTTCTTCTAATATCAATAAAGAAAAAAAAATTAAAACACACACACAAAAAACGGGAACTCCTGAGGGCAGCACCTTCTGCCTTAAGTGCATTTTCCCTCTGCATCCATCCCATAGTCTTAACCATCATACAATGCTCAAATATTTTGTGAAACTGCATTGAAATATTCAACATTAATTGTCCTAAGTTCTAATATTCTTTCCTCACCAGTCTTTCTTTAGTAAACAAAGAGTCAAGCCTCTCATCTTAGAAAAATAAAGCTTCTCCCTTGCCCTTATGTTCCTTTCGGCTACTACCTCCCCACCCCACCCCCTATGCTAGCTAAACATCCTGAGTTCTTTCAGCCTTGCCATTCCCACTTCCTCACCTCCCATTTGGTCCCCATCCATTCCAAGTGCTTTTGCCAAAGTCAAAAACAACCGCCTGCAGCCAAGTACAGCAGTTACCTGGCTGTGTGATCAATTACTCTCCTTCACAAAACTCTCCACTGCTCAATTTCCAGACCCTGTCTCACCTATCTTTCCTTCTTGCTCACCAATCCATCCAAGTTTCCTTCCAGGTTTGTTTCACCTCCTGCCCTATAATGTTAGGCACTCCAAAATTCTGTTCTTGGTTCTCTTCACAGTATTCTCACTGTCCTCACAACCACATCCTCCATTTCCTCTACCACCTCTAGCCTAAATAATTCCATTCAAATTGATGTCTCAGATCACTCTATATGCCAGAACTTTAGATCAGTTGATACCTAGGCACTTTTGTCATCTCTAACCTCTTACCTCATGACTGGTCAAACCTGGCCAGAAACTTGGACCTCCTCCTTCCTCAGACTCCAAACTTATTAACAACAATAACAGAGTAGGTGCCATACACTTTTCTAAGCACTTTAAATATATTAACCTTTATCACTTTTATGAGTCCTATGAAGTACTTTAATTATCCCCATTTTACAGATGACAAAACAAAGGAACAGAGAGCTTAACTGGCCCAAATGGCAGCAGAACCAGATTTCTAACATCACTCTGGCAAAAGAACCTGTATTATCGGTCATTTTGTGACATAAGCTTGTCATAAAACTTTCTGTTCTCTCCCTCCCCCCAAATCTAGCCAGGCCCTCAGGATCATTTTTCTTTTTTTAAAGATATTTAAAATTGATTTTTAGAGAGAGAGAAATGGAGGAATGAAAACAACAACACATCGATCAGCTGCCTCCTGCACGCCCCCTGCCAGGGATTGAGCCCTCAAACCGGCAACTTTTTGGTGCATGGGACTATGCCCAATCAACTAAGCCACACCAGCCAGGGCAAGCCCTCAGCATCTTTTGAATAAAATGACTAATCCTCCATTCTTGTAGCACTTCTCCATATCACTGCCTACTTAACTGAATTTCAGAAACACAAAATATGTCATTATCCTGCTTAGAATCCTTCCCTTTCCCTCCAGTCTACTAGGAAAAGTTCAAGTCCTTGGAATCGCATCTCCTGCAACTACTTTCCCAACACTATGCTTCAACCACACTTATTTTACACTTAACCAGAGGTACCATCTGATTCCTATCTTGGTGCTTTTCCACTTATTATCTGGTATTACCTTGTTTACTTTTCCCCTCGTGACTGGGAAAATACTGGGGCACAGAGGCAATTAAATATTTATGGAGCCCTGGCCTGTTTGGCTCAGCGGTTAGAGTGGCGACCTGCAGTCCAGAGAGACCCAGGTTCGGTTCCCGCTAAGGGCACGTACCTTGGTTGCAGTTCATCCCTGGCCCTTGTTGGGGTCATGTGGGTGGCAGCCAGCTGATGTGTCTCTCACATGGATGTTTCTCTCTCTCTTCCTTCCCCTCTCCCTCCAGCTCTATCTGAAGATGCAAAAATGTCCCCGGGTGAGGATAAAAAAATATATATTTGTGGAAAGGGCATGGAGTTCTTCTGTCATGTTCCCCATTGTATTCTGAACCCAAAGCAGTGGTCAGCATACAATATATGCTCAATGTTTGCTGAATGAATAAAGAATACTATCTCCTTCCCCAAAATCTACCTGGGTAATTCCTATCCATTTGTCTAAAAGCAATTTACCTCTCATTCCTTTGGATTTAACCTACCTTAATGCCCCCTCCACCAGCAATGTTGATTAGACTGTTTCCTAATACTTCTTTTACAGAGCAAATCGTACCATACTGCAATGTATTAATGTATGTCTTTCCCTCTCAGCTGGTTGAGATCTTTTTTCAAGGACTGGTTGGAAATGTATTATTTACAGTGATGGGCAATACACATCTGTTGAATATTCATATGTACCTCTCTCCTTACTCTTCTATGGGCTAACTCTCTCTAAGGCAGCAGTTGAGCCTCATTCATTCCAGTAACATGGGAGCCTGGCCCAGTGTCTGGCTTAGACCAAACATCCAGTAGTAGCATAAGAATTAACATTCAAAGCTGTAACCCTGCAGGCTGGGAAATTAGGGATTACTGGGCAAAAGCTGAAGGCTGGTGGGCCAAATTGCTACAGATGGGCTGGATGAATGTTTCCCAAACTTTAATGAATCACCTTTGGATCTTGTTAAAATGCAGATTTCGATTTCAAAGACCTGGGGGAGGGGGGGGCGGCTCTGTACTTTTTTTTACTTTTACATTTTATTTTTCAATTACAGTTTGCATTCAATATTATTTTGTATTAGTTTCAGATGTACAGCACTGCAGCTAAATAATCATATACTTTACAAGCTGTTCCCCCATATTTCCACCTGGCACCATACATAGTTACTACATTATTGACCATATTTCTTGTGCTGTACTTTACAGAGACTTTGCATTTCTAATAAACTCCCAAGTGATACTGATGCTGCTGGTGCGCAACCATGCTTTGGAAAACCATGGTTGCAGAAAGCTCCGTTCGCTACCAGAAGGCAACGCGCTGCCTCCTGGGACTTGCAGTCCCTCCAAGCCCTCCTAAGCCGCCGTTTTCTTCCTGCAAGTGAGGCGCGTATAGGCCTAGGCTCGGGCTGCCGGTCGGGTGGGGGGAAGCACGGTACCTGTTTGGGCTCGGTGGCCAGGGGGGGCGGCGGAGGCACCGCCTGCACAGGTCCCGCCGGCATGACCGCGACGCTCAGGGCTGCCAGTCCGCCTCGGTGTAGGTGAGCAGTGCTGCGTCAAAGCGGTTTTCCCACAGCGGAGATACAAGAAGTTCATAAGATGGCGGCAGCCGAGCAAGTCGTCACCGAGGAGGCGAGGCTGACGTACTTCCAGACCCGCCCCTTTTCCCAGACGTAACTTCCGTTCCACCCCTCCGTGGGAGCGGCGGGCGCCCTACGCCGTTGCCATGGCAGCGATCGGGCGCGGTGTTAAGGTTTGCGGGGGTTCCCAGGAGCTGCAGGCGCGGTGTGGGCAGTTGCATGAGCCGATCAGACACAGGGACTGTGGCTGCGACACCAGAGACTGGTAAAAAGTTATGCATCACTCGCCGGACGCCTTCCGCACGCATCTTACAACCCTGGCTCACTCTCCTCTATTCCACAGGCTAGTTCTACGCTCCCTCCAACCCCGCCTTCCAAGGCCCCAACTCCTTCCCATGGGCTTCTCACTTTGGAGAGCCCCTTCCTCTCGGGCCCGCCTCCTCAGAGCTCCACCACCTTACTCCCTTAGCCCCGTCTTTCGCTTCAGGCCCACCTTCTCCAAGTCCTTTCTCATGGGCCTGCCTTTTCTAGGTTGCACCCCCTGCCTAGACCCGCTTTCAAGCCCCACGGACCATCTCAAATAAGGGCTGCTTCTTTAGGCTCCATCCCTCACTCCCACAGGTGCTTCCCTACCGGCCACTGTCGCTTCAGGCATCTTTTCCTCCCTGTCCTCTCTCCTCTCCTTCCCAACTCCTGAATGCGGGGCGGCTCGCAGTCCTTGCCTGGACATCAGATTCCTCATCTGTGAAATGGCGTAATAGGAAGAGATGCTTTCCCAAGTCGCCCCCTCGGCTCTCTATCACACATACTCCATAACTAGTTTATGTTATTGTTGTTATTAATGTAGAATAATAATGATAGCTAGGGAGTATTGAACATTTACCATGAGTCAGAGTCTGTGCCAACCACCACAGAGGCATTATATCATTTATTTCTTTATTATTTATTTATTTTTCTTTATTGATTTTTTTAGAGAGCGAGAGGAAAGGAGAAGGAGAGAGAGACAGAAACATGGATGAGAGAGAACACCCATTGGCTGCCTCCTGCATGCCCCCCACTGGGGAGTGAGCCCACAACCTGGGCATGTGCCCTGACCCGGAACTGAACTGGCAACCTCTTGGTGCATGGGTCGAAGCTCAACCACTGAGCCATACTGGCTGGGCACATCATTAATTTCTTTCTTTCTTTTTTTTTTTTATCCTCACTGGAGGACATTTTTCCATTTTTGCTCAGACAGAGTGGGAGGGGAAGAGAGGGGGAAAGAGAGAGAGAGAAACATCGACGTGAAAGGAACACATCGAGTGACTGCCTCTGACACAACTCCAACCGGGGCTGGGGACAGACTACAACCGAGGTACGTGCCCTTAGCGGGAAACGAACCTGGGTCCCTCTGGACCGAGGGCCGATCTCTAACCGCTGAGCCAAACCGGCCACGGCTCATTAATTTCTTATAGTAACTAAATTACTAATGAGGACAGTGAAGTTTAGAGTTGGTTGGAGTGGGAACCCTAATCTAGGCTCCTCTACTAGTGCAGTTACTTATTCCTTGGTCTTCACTCAGTTTCTTCATTGTCCCCAGGGATCCAGGCAAGTAGCAGTCCTGAGTCAGAGGTTAACAACTGCCATACACATGGTTTTAGAGTTTTGAAAGTGTATTTTTATGCTGGTGACCTTGAATCTTAGTGGGAGCACTGGTTAGGAGATAAGCATAGTCTTTAAAAGGTTTGAGCCGGCGGGAGATCAAATCCACAACACAAGGACAATGTAGAGCAAAATGGCTTTATTGCATGCGCCTGGGCACAGGCGGGCTGAGCCAAGAAGGGTTCAGCCTCAAATTAGGATTGGGGTGTTGGTTATATACCCTACTTTTAGCTTCCAGCAGGCAGTTCCTTTATCTGGCCCATTGTCTACCTTGCAGTAGGGCTGGTCTGGTATCTCGTCCAGCATTTGCTGGGTTATCCATTGCCTTGCAGATAATTCAGATAAACCTTATCCGTACTCAACAAAAGGCTGAGCAAATGTCATGCATGCAACACAATTTCCACCTTTGCAAACTTTTACCTTTATCCTTTAAAACATTACTAACCCTTTCAGTCTTTACCTGAGTCCTAGAACTCAGAGAGGGAAGGGGCCTGAATGTTGAACAGGAGTAGAGGAGAGTCTCCCTCTCTTCTCTGTGAGTCAGGAGTCCACTTTTGGCTTGAAGGAACTGCCCCTCCTGCCTCAGGACAGTGCTGGCTCAATGAGTGCCATCACCTATGTAATCTCAGGAACCAAAGCAAGGCTGGCAGCTTCAGGCTAAGGGCTTCACTCAAGACCCAGAAATTAGAAAGCCTGTGTCAAATGCTCCTTCGAAGTCTTGACACATACATAAGTGGTTTTCAGTTCATGCTGATATCTGAAAATCTCCAATGTTCAGAAGAATTGACACAGTTAAATTGGACTATTTTACATACTGTGTTTTCCTCTTACATATTCTTACTTCTTTGGCATTTCTGCTGCTTATCAGTACCAGAGTCTAACAAGAGTTGGTATCTCAAATGGCATACATTGTAGTTATTTGAGGATGAATAGGTCAGTGTTTCTTGGTGTCTTCACAAGCAAGCTCCTAAGGTCCAGGGCTTCCTCCCAGGGTGGGGTTTCTTGCTTGCTTTATTTTCATCATTCCTTTCCAGAAAGGAAATCCAGGATGTTTCAGTCTGGTTTTGCTATTTGTTTCTGCCTCATTCTTTGGGGACAGAAAATCTCATGAGTGGCAATATCTCATGAGAGGCAGTCACCAAGGCAATGTATGCGTGAGGCCTGTGGGCCTGTGTGTGTGTTTGTGTGTGTATGTGAGTGTTGTGGGTGGATATCTTTACCCTATAGTTGGAACTGACAAAGCTGACACACCTAAGACTTGCCCCCTGCAGAGACCCTCAGACATAAAAGTGGTTCCTGGCACACAGGGCTCCGTGTGCCCTGCTCTGTCCCTATTCTTGACACCACGCCCAGCATATAATAGGTACTTAGTCACCATTTGCTGAATAGACACAGGTCTGACCCTCTACAACTACACAGTCTAATACAGTAGCCACCAGCCCATGTAGTGGTACATTTGAAAATAGTGGCTGGTCCAAATTGAGATGTACTTTAAGTGTCAAATGGATGCTGGATTCTGAGACTTAATGCAAACACACACACACACTTTAAAAAAAAAATCTTAATTTTATATTAATTTCATGTTTAAGTGATAATATTTAGGCATATTGGGTTAAATATATTATTAAATTTAATTTACCTGTTTCACTTTACTCTTTTTAATGTGGCTAGTGGAAAATGGAAAATCCCATGCATTATATTTCTTTTGCACAGTGCTACTCTAGGAGCAGCTTTGCCTGAGGACAGAGCAGAGATGTTGGTCTCAAGAATCCCAGCTCCTTGAGTGACCTTGGGCTAACCCCTAACTTTCCAGAGCCTCATCTGTACATGGAAGCAGATTTGGAAAGTACACAGTAGTTGCTGTGGACAGAGCTAGCACTGTTGAAGCATGCTGTCTATTCTCAGGTTAAAGGCAGGTGACCCCGCCTGCCCTTTCCCTCACTTTATTCCTTAGCCTGGAACACCTTCCTCTTCTTCTGGGACAGCTTCCTCCATGCCCCCAGAAAGCTCTCCCTGAGCACCCACTCACATACTCTCACCTTCATTCATTCCCAGAGACTGAAGAGCTGCTTGGGGCCAGTCCTGCACTGGAGACAGGAAATCAGGCACCTGGATGAGCCTCTGACCCTGAGCCCCAGAGCCTACAGGCTTGTCTGAGACTTGGGCAGGCACCTGGGCAGACGTCCAGCTTCACAGGCAGGCACCCGCACAGAGGTGAGAACAGGGCATAATCCTCTATGAGGCTGGAGGCTCAGCCCTCAGAAACTACCCCTTGGTGACTCTGAGCTTCCTAGCACCTGTGGGCACACGGTGGTCCTCAGGCTTCTTGGCCTACATGGCTAGGTCATATCCCAGTGAACTCAAAAACAGTCCCTGTGCTCACAGGTAGAGAGACTGCCACCCACAAATAATTACTCAAATAATGAGTCAGTGCCGGTGTGGTGTGTGCTGAGATGGAAAAGAACAGGATGCTCTGAGAATGTATAACAAGGGGACCTCACCTGGCCTGGGGACCTGAGGGAGGGGTTTTATCTAGAGGAGGTGGGGAGAGGGAGCACATTCTGAGTGGTGAGATACTAAGGTGGGGGCAGAGCACCCAAGGCTGGAGCCCTGGGCAATGTTCTAGTCTATGCTGTAGAAAACCATTCAAGGGCGCTGAAGGGGTGGGGTGGGGTTAGTTGCCTTTTTAAATGATTGCTCTGGCTACCATATACCCAATGAGCAAGGTGGTGTGGGGCAGGGGAAAGAAGAAGATGGAGTGTGGAGCAGTGTTGATGCACAGAAGTGGTGGGTTCTGAGTGTGGTCTGGACTCCATGCTTGAGGAAGTCCCCAGGTACACTTGGTGGGGGTGCTATTTTCGGAGATGAGGGATGTGGAAATAGGTTAGAGGAAGAGAGGTTTCCCAGCTAGGCCTGGACTTGCTAGGGGCCAGAGGGGCCATGGCCTAAATACTGCCCAAGCAGCACCTGTGTTCAGGGAGGGGCTGTGGTGCAGGAAAGCACTTTCTGATACTGAGAAATCCACAAAAGACAAGGGGACCCCTACTATATGGTGGGGAGGGATCAGGGATCAGCATCCACAGGGCTGCCCAGCTCTGATCAGAATGCTGGCTCTGACACCAGCGGCCAGAGGCATGTGATGAGCCACAGGAGGGGCCAGGACAGTGTTGCTTGCCCACCTCTGAGTCAAGGGCCATGAACAGTTCATCCAAATCACTGTCTTTGGATGTACACACACTCTGAAGATGGACAAAAAGCATTCTGTTTGGGCTGCAGGGGTAAAGGGGAAATGTTGAAAGCAGACAGCTGCTGCTCCAGACAAGGATGGTCTTTGCTGTTGTTACTGCTAATAAAATAATCACAATAGTAATAGTTACTATTGCTGGAGAACTTTTATTGGTATCTTACACTGGACAAAGCACTTTACTTGTAGACACCTTTAAAGGCCTCACAACCACCTGGCCTGGTTGGGGAGGGGATGGTGTCCCCATCTTACAACTGAGGCAACTACGGTTCAGAGGGGTGCAGTGACTTGCCTGAGGCCACACAGTCAGGAAGAGGCAGGGCTGGGACTCTGTGTATCAACATAAATGGGTCCCCTGTCACCAGAATGGTTAGGGTAGGTATCATACAGAATTTCAGGTTTTCCTCTTTTACGCCTTATGACTGGTTTTCCTCCCAAAATCAATGTATTTTAGAAATTCTTTATAAATTCTTTTTTTTTTTTTCCCATTCAGTTACTTAGTCATTCACTTGCCAGTGAGTACCTACAATGGGCTAGCCTCCACACTGGCCACATTGGGGTGGACTGAGGACCTGGCCTGGAAAGGGGAGGCCGTTCTAGCAGAGGGATCAGGGCTGAAATGGGGAAACCCAGAGGGATTATCTACCCCAGCCCAGAGGGTACTCAGGGAAGGCTTCCTATGGGAGGTGATGTCTGGGAACCTGAAGGATGAGAGGAGTTAGCCAGATGATGGGCATTGGGTAGGGGAAACAGTTCAGATAGGGGGACAGATGGGCATAGATTCGGAAGTGAGTGCCTGTGCGTTAGCTGCCCCGTAGCCGATGTGGAGAGTATGAGGTGGAGAGGGGGTGACTAGAGAGGCAGGTGTGAGGAACACAGCCAGGGGAGGCTTTTCTCCCCAGGGCCACAGGGACTCCTGTGGGTTTGTGAAGTGATCAGATAGGGTTTGGCCCAGATCTCTGGAGCTAAAGTGGATCAGATTGGAGCAGGCGGTCCTGTGGAGATGACAGTGGCCTCCTGTGGCTCAGCCCTCCCTGTCACACTGTAGCTACAACTGTTTTTTAGTTGTCAGTTGCCTGTGCAGTGGTTCACTCTGGGAGAGAAGGATGGTAGGTACATTCTCATTCACAGTAGTATCTGCCCAGCATTTAGCAGGTGCCTGGCATACATGGCCCTCAGAGGTACTTGTGGAACAATGGAATCGGCAGTGTAGGTGTAGGTGTAGGTGTAGGCAGGGTAGGGTGAGTGAGAGGGAAGCTGATGTCACCTACAACCAGCTTCCAAGGGCCTGGTGACCTGGGGTTGATAAACAGACCTCTCCCCAGGGTCTAAGACAGACTTGGGTCTAGGAGCATCTGGGCAGATAGGGGTCTTAGGAAGGTTCCTCTAGCAGCAGCCACATGGCTCTGGCTAATGGGGCTCCTCTCTGCCCACCCCAGGAGCCCTGAGGATGGCTCACCTGCTGGGCAACCAGGCCTGCATGGACAGCCTGCGCAAGGACCTCACTGACCTGCAGGGCACCATCGTAGATGTCTTTTCCCATGCTGGACCTGTGCGCTTTCCCTCCTGGAAGTTTCCTGACCGTGTGGCCTGTGACCTGGACATGGTGGCCCTGCTAGAGCACTATGACCATGTGCCAGGTGACCCGGAGTTCACACAGCTGTCTCATGCGGTGCTCTTGGAGCTGGTCATTGACAGGTGAGGGCCTTGACCAACCTGGTGTTCTTGGGATGCTGACACCCACCCACCTCTTAAACCAGTAGCAGCCATGGGATCCCCCTCCAGCAGTGGTGATGATGTTGGTAGCAACAATCACCTTTGACTGAGTACTTTTGGGGGCCAGGTCAGCTCAGGGCCCTCACAGTGATCTCACCTGTGTCTGTCGTGAGCAGTGCTATGCTCTCCTATCCTGCCCACCCTCAGGGAGTTGCTGGCTACCCTGTTGGTCTCTGTGGCACCCCAGGTCTGACCAGTGCCTCTCTGGGTGCTTCCAGCTGCCTTCTCAGGGTTTCTGTGTATGAGGGATACCACAGCTGCCATTCAGAGTTTCTATCCCAGCATCTTGTGAGCTGTGCTGTTCTCACCTGTGTGCTGTGTCATGGGGCCAGACATGGGATATGTTTTCTCCAAATCCTGGCCCTGCTGGGAAGAGGCCAGTGGATTCCTCCACAACCCTGCCACGTCTATGCTATTAACATTAACATGGTCATTAGTCTTCCACTTCCTGGGGACCCCAGCCCAGGTTTCCTGTGCTCCAACTCCTTATATGCTAATGAAGTCATGGGCAACCAACATGCAGGGACTCAGCCGCTTGGGGATCATTTGCCTGGGGACAAAGAAGCCAGGGTAATTACTCAGAGGCCTGAAGAAGCCCTTGGTGTAAAAGCACCATTTGGAACCTATGAGGGGCTGAACATGTAAACACAGAACACACCTTCCTTTCTCTGTGGCTTTGCATATGTTGTGCCCTCTTTTAGGAACACCTGCCTACCTCTTACTGTTCTGGCTTAGCTCCACTCATCCATCAAGGTCCAGTTTACCTATTTGCCTTCTGTGAAGCTGCTGCTAACATGTCTTCCCACCCCTTCCTTCATCCCTCTGCCCACCTCTGGCTGAGTTAGTCAGAGCCTCCCCTGGGCTTCTATGTGTGTACATAACTCCTGGCAGAGACCACTGGGTTTGAGATCTCCCCTGGGAACCCTGGAAGACAGGACCATGGTCACCAGCTCAGTGTGTAGCATTTGGAGGTGCTCAGCTCATGTCAGGGATGGGATTATGGCTAAGGATGAAAGTAATGTAGATAGCACAGCAATATGCCACTGAGAAGGTCTGCCTGTCTGAGCAGACAAATCACTCTGTCAAGGTTATGTCCTCTTTCCATGTGCTTTCCCACCCCCACCCCCCATTGCTGCTCACCTGTGCAGCAGTCACAGTTGTCCCCATTCATAGGAGGACATCTCGGCCCAGAGAGAGGCAGGGCCTGGAGGCAGTTGGCACTTTCTCCCCTGGGCCCTCTCTGCCCAAGATCCAGTGGGTTTGGGATGACCCCCCAGCACCTGCAACAAGAGGTCAGTTTCCTGCCTGGTGTGTTTTGTAAACATAATACCTCTTCCTTTAAAATAGCTTGGCTCCCATGCAAATACAAACATCCTTGCAATATCTCTTTTCCTTAAAATAAGCCCCTGACTCTAATTTTGAATTTTTTTTTTTTTATCCTCACCCGAGGACATTTTTCGATATTTTGTTCAGATAGAGTGGGAGGGAGGGAGAGAGAGAGACAGAGAGAGAGAGAGAAAAACATCGATGTGAAAGGGACACATCGAGTGGTCGCCATCCACACGACCCAACCAGGGCCCGGGACAAACTGCAACCGAGGTACATGCCCTTAGCGGGAACCGAACCCGGGTCTCTCCAGACCGCAGGCCAACGCTCTAATTTTGAACTCAGAGGTTAGGATAGAGACCTAGCTCTCTTTACTCCAAGTCTCCATTGTCACAGAAGCAGCTTGTCCTTCAGATGCCTCTGACTAAAATCAGGAAATTGCAAGGTGCCTGCCCTGCATGCTCACTTGAGGCTGTGGGCAAACTCCTCCCCTCTTGGGTCTCAGCTCTGTCCTCTGTAAGGTGAAGGCTCTGAGCCATGTAATGTAAGGCAGCCACTTGCCCAGTACTTTCTGAGCACGCAGGATACAACTGAGGCAAGGCCCAACTTCCCGGAGCATCCACCCAGAGTAGTAACAGTGGGAAACTGCCAGGCAGAGAGCTGCCACCCAGGAGGCCCAAAAGAGCCCTCAGGGAGGGCTTCCCAGGAGAAGTGGCTCTTGGGCTGGGTTTGAAGCTGGCCTGGCAGAGCATATTCCAAGGCACTCCAAGTCCCTGATGCCTGGGCCAATTCCCCAGAGCCAGAGGCTGCCGATTGTATGGCATGAGGGCCCACGGACACTGGGCTCTGCCCTCACTGACCCTGCTGCCTCTGCCCACAGGCTCCTACTGCTGCTTCAGAGCTGTGCAAGCTACTTGGAGAACCTCAGTTCAGAGCAGACAGTGCCCCCTGCCCGGGCTTTGGAGCCTTGCATGTCCGTGGGGCTCACCGTGCAGCGCTTCTGGAACAGCCTGCTGAAGCTGGGAATGCTCTACCAGCAGATGCTCCACCAGGTGGGTCAGCTACTTCCCTACTTCCTGTTTCCTGACTGTGGTCACCGTCACTCCAGTCCATCCTGCCCCGGCTTCCTACCACACCATATGTGCATCGCACCCATTGCTGGCTCCACACTGCCTGAAGGAGAGTGTCAACTCGAGCCTCCCAGTCAAGGCCTTGTGTTACAGCACAGGCCACGGGGGACATGTCTGGGCTACTGGGCTCTGCTGTTTACACTGTAGGACTTTGGAAATATGCTTCCTCCTTTGAACCTCAGTTTGTTCACCTGTACAATGGGAGTAATGACAGTCCCCACCTCTCAGGGCATTGTTGGGTAATAGTGTTAACATGAGTGTCATTTGTTAAAGGTTATCCTGAAACCTCACAGCCACCCAGTGGGAAGGACCACTGTCACCACGATGGGGGAGGAAACAAAAGCTGAGAGTGGCTGCAGGGACACGAGAGTAGTCAAGTTCACTGAGAAAGAGCCCAGCAGCTGTGTCTGTCACCGTTACTCTCCCACTACCATGCGTGTAACTTCATTGAGCCTGGGGAGTGAGGGTGGGCAGCAGAGAGGAGGCCTGGGCCTAGCACCTTGAAGCAGTAGCAAGGAAGGAAAAGGTTCTCTTTCATTCACATTGGTGTTCAGTAACATTTGAGGGTCTGAGCATCAGGAGAGGCTGTCTCAGAAATCCCCAAGGAAGCGGTTACCTCCCAGGCCTGTTTCTCTCACCTGCTTTTCCTTTCTTTTCCTGAACACAGAAAAGGGCAACCCAAGGGGAGACCCCCACCTCCAAGCCCACAGCCAAGGGCGAGCCAGCCAGGAGTCCGGAATTTGTGACTGCCAAGTTCATCAAGCCCCCCTCCCCAATTCCAGGCTTGCCCCAGACCTGCCAAGAACCGGGCAGTCTCTCCATCAGAGTCTCTCTGCAATCTCCAGCCAGGAGCACTGAAAGCACCAGGAGCGTCCACTCCCAGACCGTGGAGACTGCCCTGGTGCCCTGTGACGCGTGCACCAGTGTCCAGGGCAGCCTGCGGGAGGTGGGCAAGGTGGTCATCAGCTTGTGTCAGAACCAGAACTTGCCCTCATCCTTAGGCCAGTTTCAGCAGCTAGTGCGGGACACCATGGGGCTCAGGCCACTGCCAGCTGCCACTGTGGGCCACTGGGCAGCAGAACAGAGCAAAGACCTGACCCGTCTCAGTAAGCATGTGGGAGCCCTCACTCAGCTTGTCGGGCCCCTCAAGGCCCAGCTGGAGGAGGCTGAGGGGCAGAAGGAAGGACTGAGGAAGCAGGTGGGCAAGCTGGAGCAGGCACTGCAGCAGGAGCAGGGGGAGCGGCGGCGGCAGGCGGACAAGGCCCAGCAGCACCTGGCAGAGTGGGAACATGACAAGCAGCAACTGCGCTCAGGTCTGTGCCCCAGGCTGGACCCTTAGTGCCTGGGGCTCTGCTATAGCCTTAGTGTGGGCTCTCCAGTAGCAAAGTCTGTGACAGGGCTGCTGTATAAGTCGTTGGTGTGGAAGAAACCCTGCTGGGGAGTGGGCCAGAGATGCAGGGAAGGGAAGGCAGCAAAAAAAGGTACACTCGCCCTGGCCAGTTTGGCTCAGCAATTAGAGCATCGGCCCACGGACCAGAGAGACCCAGGTTCAGTTCCTGCTAAGGGCACATACCTCAGTTGTAGTTTGTCCTGGCCCCGGTTAGGGTCGTGTGGGTGGCAACCAGTTGATATGTCTCTCTCACATCAGTATTTCTCTCTCTTCCTCCCTCTCTTCCTCCCACTCTATCTGAAGATAAATCCAAAAATGTCCTTGGGTGAGGATTAAAAAAAAAGGTACACTCATTAAACCAGTTACACCACAGTCAACAGGAGCTCAGTCCCATTGGGAACACTAGAGCCATTGTAGAACACTTGCCTCAGAATTATCCCCTCAGAGGGGCGAGGGAGCCAGGGCATTCACCCACTGGCTCCTGTTGGTCACTGAAGGTGGCTCCTTGGGGTGTTTGCTCCCCTGGCACCTTCAGCCTGGCCTCTTGGCTTTGGCAAAGGCAAAGAAATGTAGCCACTGGCACCGCCCGCTAATGTGAGGCCAGAGGAATTTGGGCAAGTCACTGGTCTTTCTGGGCCTCACTGTTGCCTCTGTGGAGGACACTGGGGCTCAGAGAAGTATAGAGACATGCAGCCAGCCAATAGGAAGTGGAGCAGAGGGGACCCAGGCTTCCTGGAACCTCCCCAGAGCTCACCCTCAAGCCCAGGCAGCTCCTCCACATGGCAATGGCTGCCACCACTCTGTAGGGTACACTGGGCATGAAGGCTACCAGCCAGGCCCCAGGGAACCTCTGAAAGGACTCTCTCTTGGCTGCATAGAAACAAGTGACCTCAAGAGGAAGGTGGCCACCCTGGAGCGGGAGCTGAAGCAGCAGAAGGAGTCCACACAGGCTGTGGGTGAGGAGCCCTGTCATAGAGCCCCGGACCACGTGCCCTGTGCTCGGTGATACAGCATGACAGGCACCCTCTATCTCTGTCCCCTGGGCTCCTGAGGCAAAGATAAAGGGAACCACAAAGGAGAGTGGACTGAGTGACCACTCTATTGGGTATTGACCTGAATAGGGGTGCCCCCTTCTATTTTCAGAACCCATCTTAAGGGGGGTTCAGAGCACCACTTTATGACCAGTGACATTGAGACCAAGAGATGTGCTCTGACACACACACCCCTGGTCCCATCCTGGGTGGGAGGTGGTACAGGGACTCGCACCCAGGGTTCCTCTGCCCTGTCCTTTCTTATGCCTACTCAATCCTGCAGAGACAAAGGCCCAGCAACTACAGGAGGAGGCCAAGCGCAGGGTAGAGGCTGAGAGGCAGGTGCAGCAGCTGGAGGAGCAGGTGCAGCTGCTGGCAGGGCGGCTGGATGGGGCCAGCCAGCAGATTCGCTGGGCCAGCACAGAGCTGGACAAGGAGAAGGCCCGCGTCGACAGCATGGTCCGCCACCAGGAGGTAAGGCTGGGGGCTTCGCTAGTGCTGTAGGTGCCTGCTGCATAGGCTTCAGGGAGAGAGGACTCCACTGGTGAAGGATGGGGGTTTGTCTGCATAAGGCACCAACACACACCCAGATTTGGGTTGACTTGCATTTATGGAGGATATGAGACCTCCCCTGAGCTGGGCACTGGGGGAATGGTGACCCATGGACAGATACAGCCAAAGAGGCCTTGCTCTGGAGGATCTCCCTATTTGGCAAGGGCAAGCAGTTGTGCCACAACAACTGTCCTGATGGATGGCTAAGAGGGCCAGGAAAAATGCTGCATGGGTCCATGGAGGGATAGTCACCTCTGTGGAAATCCAGGATGACTTCCGGGAGGAGGTGACCTTTGAACTATACACCAGTGGCTGGTGATTAGTTCATCAGCAAGAGGAAGGATAGAGAAGACAGAGGGTGAACCGGAGCCCAGAATACAGCTGTGCCCTGGGCAGTGAGATCTTGCAGGAGTCCCCACTGTTTTGGCTAAGGGAGTGAGTGCCTGGTCACACCTGTCATCTAGAGAGGCAGCATGTCTGGGGGCTATCCTGGCTGGGCTTATGCTCAGGCCGGGTGGGGAGCCATAACCACGGATATAAGACCCCAGGGTCAGGCATGGCCCAGAATGGGAAAGCCTTTCAACCTCAAGTGGGTGCTTTTCTCAGTGCCCTGCAAAAACAGGCACGGTCACCATGTATCAGGTGGCGTCTGTGAGCCAGGCACTGGATTCAACCTCTGCAGCCCTTTCATTCTTCCTCCTCGCCACAATATGTGGCAGATACTCTCATCATCCCCATTTTATGGATGAAGAAACTGAGACTCGGTGAGATTAAGGAAATTGACCAAGGCCACACAGTTAGTCAGAGCTGGACCTAGAACTCAGAAATGACCAGGGCTGGTTCTTTTTGTTTTGCACTCAGTGGGTGTCTAGAAATGTGGGTTTCAAGTGACATGGGCTGAAGACTTCAGAAGGAGGAAAACATTTCCTAAAATTCCTCTCTGAGGATAGACTATGACCAAACAGAAATGGGGGTGAGGCTGATAGAGTCAGCTAACTGCTTTCCAAGGGGCAGGGTCTGCAAGCTGGGGGGGTCTGGCTTTGACTGGGCTGGGATGTGTGTCACCCCCTTGCCCTCTACCTTCTGTCCCTTGCCTTTCACGAATGTATACAGCATCCCCCTACACAGACTGATGCAGCTCAAAAGGGAGGGCTTGGGGCGGAGGTCACAGATACTGTAGCCTCCGTAGTCCCACGTGGCTAGGCCTAACCCTGTGGGCCTCATGGCCTCCCTGCCTGCCCATCCTGGCTCAGTCCCTGCAGGCCAAACAGCGAGCCCTGCTACAGCAGCTGGACAGCCTGGACCAGGAGCGTGAGGAGCTTCGGGGCAGTCTGGACGAGGCCGAGGCCCAGCGGGCACACATGGAGGAGCAACTGAAGAGTGTACAGAGCGAGAGGGAGCAGGGGAAGTGCCAGCTCCAGGCCCAGCAGGTGGGAGCGGGCAGCGTGAGGGTGCGGAGCCCCCAGCCAGCTGGGTGCCTGCAGGCCTGTCTCATGTCTAGGGAGTAGAAGGGGTGGGTGTCCCCAAGGGAGCCAGGAAGTGCTCCTTGGGCCAGGTCTGAGCCTCCCTCTGTCCCAGGAGCTGCTGCAGAGCCTGCAGAGGGAGAAGCAAGGCCTGGAGCAGGCGATGACAGATCTGCAGCTGACCATCTCGGAGCTGGGTCAGGAGCTCATGGAGCTGAGGGAACGGGAGCGGCTGCTGGTGGCCTTTCCGGACCTGCACAGGCCTGTTGAGGCCCAGATCCAAAGTAGGGGCCCAGGGATGGTGCAGAGGGCACGCTGGGACCCAGGGTGGCAGGACATAGGGGTCTACAACTCCCCAACTTGCAGCAAGGGTGGTAGAGCTGGGGTGGCTAGCAGTGCAGTCTCTATAGAGCCCCCACGACATGCAGTAGCTTCATGTGTTACCCACTCTGTGTAGACAGGGACATGGAAGCTCAGAGGTGAGGTAGTTGCCCATGGTCACTCAGCCGAATCCAAACACAGGTCTGGCTGCCTTTGTAGACTGTGTTCATCACCACATGCCATGTTCCATTCCCCACTCAACTTCCCTGTGGCCCTGTTCTAGCATCTCCTCAAACCACACCATGCAGCCTGCTCTAGGGGCACAGCCCCAACTGTCCAGTGTCCTGGACCCCATGGCACAGGAGTGCTATGGACCTGTTTCAACAGAGGACTGGATGCCAGGCCACCTGGATTCTTGTCCCAGCTCCCTGAAGCTCTAGGGGTGAATCCATTCACAGAGGCATCAGGAAGATCCACTGCAATTTAACTGGACATTATAAGTCATCACTCCCGAGTACTGACTACCTGCTAGGCCCTCTGTTGCCCTCTCAACTGCCTTGCCAGGCAGGTAGCAGCCTCTTTACAAACTCAGAACCAGAGAAGGCAGACACTTGCCCAGGTTATTTGAGCCCAAAGGAAGTATCCATCCCCCAAGTGGTGGGAAAGGGCATCCTTGCTGAATCCCTGACTCATACCCAAGAGCAGCTGTGTGACTTCAGATAATTCACTGTCTCTCTGGCCTTCCAAAAACAGGCCTTGTCTATTTGCTAAGTTTACAGTGAGCCTGAAGTTCCACCCAGCTCTCAAATTCTGTAATGCTATAATCACCTTTCAGCAGGTAGGGGGATGGGAGAGAGGACAAGGCCTCAGGAGAAGGAAGACGAGATTGGAGGCCCAGTGCACTGATCCTGTCAAGCTCCCCTGTGCCTGCTGGACCCTCTGAGGTCCTGTCTTGTTGGGCACAGGAGGCAGACCTGGTGGGGTGAGGTGCCAGATAGCCTGTCCCTGCAGGCTCTGGCAACGTTATGGACGACATGGAGAGGCAGGTGCAGGCCAACGACATCCGCATCCGGGTCCTGCAGGAGGAGAATGGGCGGCTCCGGTCAATGCTGTCCAAAATTCAGGACGTAGCCCAGCACGGGGGCCTCAAGGTGGGCAGCCTGAGTCTTCAGCTGGGAGGGCTGGCTCAGGGACTTGGAGAGGGCCCTGACCCAGCTGAGGTCTTCAGACACCACCCTGGGAACCTGTTGAGAGCCATCTTACCTCGTGCGGCTTTAGGCTACAACTGTGAAACATCTTGCACATTTTAAGATGAGAGGATGTTACAGTGCCTTCTAGCTCCAAATCCCCTCCCACCCCCCCACCCCCACCCCCGGCCCTTGATACTTTTATTCCAAGTGCAACCAGGAGACTTAGCAGAAAGCAAACCTTCCCACACTTACTGCAACTCAGGCGCCCCGAAAGGCTTCCCAAACCCTGCCCCTCAGAGTAAGGGGCCCTGGGTACAGGTTCCAGCCCTCTCTCACCCTTTCTGGCTATGTCCTCTCTGAACAGTGGGGATGGGGCTCCTGAGCCTTTTTGAGCTTGACTTTCTTTGCAGCTGATCCCCCAGGACCAGCTCTGGGCCCGACCCGGCCAGGGAATCCAGGGAGCAGCACCCCCAATCCAGACTCAGAGAGTGTCCTCAGGGTAAGTGAAGCTTTGCCAGAGGTGGGGCAGACGGGCTGGGCTGGTCACTCTGGCTCACAGGGGCTCTTGCCATCTGGCCCTCCCTCAGGCCTCTGGGCAGGCGGCACTCACCTGGCAGCAGGACAACCAGTGCAAGCAGGACTCTGCCGGGCCAGCCCCGGACATCCCCATCTCGGCAGTCTGGCAGCCAGCCCAGCAAGTCCTCCCTGGAGGATGTGACCCACTCGACCACCTGTGCCCAGAACCCCATCCATGTCTTGACCAGGCTAAGGAGGAGACTGTCACCAAGCCAGGGTCAGGCTGGGCCTACACACCAGCTCCAGGAACCGCCCGTGTAGCCTACAGCGGGATGGGCTTGAGGGCAGGTAGCTGGCAACCAACCCAATGTAATAAAGCCCTGGCTGTCTACTCACAACAACCTTGGCCTCACAGCACTGTCTGAGCCGGGGCAGAGTCCTTCCTTCCCCGTCCCAGGCAGGGACCACAGGGACCTTCACCAGCAGAGGCCTAGCATACCATGGAACCTCAGTAAATGGGAGCTCCTGGCGGGCAATGGGAGAAGAGGGCAGAAAGAAGCTTCTAGTACCTGGGCCAGGTGAAAGGGTAAGATGGACTTAGTGACAACCCCCCATCAACAAAGGGCAGGGTCAATATGGAGGTGTGCAGGGGAAGGGGAACAGCTCGAGGTGGGCCCGATGGAGATGTCTAAGGCAAGAAAGGAGTCCGAGGCTGGGGTCCCTGTTCTGGACTATTGGCAGAGGGCAATGATGCCTTCTCTAACCCCAAGTCTGAACTTGGGGCCTCCCATCCTGGCTTTGAACCTGGGGATGGGGCATTAAGGACCGAAGCAAGTCAGCCCTTCTTTCTCTGAGGATTCCTTCAGGAAATGTAAGTCGAAAAGGGTTTCTCTAGATCCAGGAGGTTGGATCCCCAGGAGGCTACTGAAAACAGGGCAAGGCCTCACTCAACCTGAGATTGGGACACCCCAGCCAGCCGTGGTTTCCCAGACCTAACCCTCGGGGCCCGGCACTGATGCCACCAGCCACACCAGGCTCATCGCAGTCCAGTTTTCTCATGAGGCCTCCAGCCTGCCGTGAGTCACCTCGTCTGTGAGGGGCAGGCTCAAAGACCTTGCTGAGGCCGCCTCAGGGTGGGCACTCCCAGCTTTCTCTGACATTTTCCCCTAGTGAGGAGGCCAGCAAGTAGAGCACCTCAGTTTACAGAGAAAGGTCAAGAGGAGCCATGTGTGTAGCTGAACTGGCCTGGCCAAGGTCTGTCCAATTCTTGCTTCTGTGGAGCCCAGTGGTTCCTGAGGGAGGCTGGGGTGCCCTGGCCCTGAGGCAGGAGGCCATCCATTTATTAACTCATAGTTCTGTAGTTCAGGAGTCTAGGCCCGGTGTGGCTGGAATTTGCCCAGGGTCTTAGAAGGCTGAACTCAAAGTATCTGCCAGGTTGCATTCCACTCTGATAGCTCTGGGGAAGCATCCAGGTTCATTCTGGTCCTGGGCAGAATTCTGATCTTGCAGCTGTACGACTGAGGTCTGTTTCCTTGCTAGCTGCCGTCAGCTGGGGCTGCTCAGCTCTCAGAGGCTGTCTGCCTTCCCTGCCACGTGGCCCCCTCCATCTTCAAGTTCGCAACAAAGAATTTCTCATGTGGTTAGGTCAGACCCACTTGGATATGTTCCCTCTCAAGGCCCACTGTGCCATGTAACATAACCTAATCAGGGAGTCAAATCCATTAGAGTCAGTTTCAGGGTTATACAAGGCATGTTCATGGGGGCTGTCTTATAATCTACCTCCCATAGGCAGTAGAGCCCAGGGTGATTTGCTTTTATTATCTTAAAACACCCACTCAAATTTTATTTCTTATGTTAAAATATATCCATGTTTATTTTAATATTAAACCTCCCCTACCCCAAATCTTCTTTTAAAAAAAAATGGATGTCCCTAGAAGATGCACCACATTATCCTGTGGCTTCCAGTATCCTGGTCAGTGACCCGTAGTCCCACTGAGAAGCACAGGGCTGGATGGTTTCTAAGGCCTCTGGTATCAATCAGGCCAGAAAGGGAGCCCAGTGGGACAGGCAGTGGGACCCTGTGGCTCCTAGTGCCCAAGGACTGAGGGTAGTAGGCCTCTGGGTTTAATCTCCCAGCCTTGACCATGATGTGTTCTGAAAGATGGTCAGGCCAGGGTGCCCCCGATGCCAGACGGTTCCTCCCCTAACCCACCCCCCAATAAATAATCACAAAACTGGCCACTGCAGCCTCAGCCCCTGGGTGTCCTGACAGGCAGGCCAGAGAGCTCCCAGAGCCCTGGGAACAGCTGCACTGCCCCTACCCTCTTTCCCCAGGCCCTTGCCCATGGTCCTGGGAGCTGCCTGCAAGGAAGGCAGACACAGACACCCCAGGATTATACAAAAGGGCCCCAAAGGGGTCTCTCTTCCTCACTTCCCAGCAGGTCTGGGCCCTGCATCCTTGACCTGCGGACTGTGACCCCCTCCTTCCCAGAGTGGATGTGGTGGGGTGCCTTGCTCCTCAGCAGAGGAGGCCCCTATCCTTCCACCCAAAGAGTTTTCTGTCCTGACCATCCCGCTGTCCTGTTCCAAGAGCTCAGGATGAGGGCCAGACTGCAGACAGGAGGGGTCTCATCTCGATGTGCAAAGACCCAGCTGGTGCAGCTAATCATCTGAGTAGCGGTTCCCTGCAGGGAGGAGGAAAAAGAACAGGGAGGCGTCAGGTGGGGACTAGGTGGAGCCAGCCAAAGGCCCCTGCACCCCCGATGCTCACCCAGGACGTTGAATTTGCACAGTGGGCAGGTCTGCTGGAGCATCAACCAGGGGTCCACACAGTCTCGGTGAAACTCATGCTTACAGGGAAGCACCCGGAGCCACTGTGGGGAGGAGAGGAAGAACTCAGGCTACAGTTGCAGGCCTCCATGTAAGGGTGCCTGGCCCCGTGTCCTCATCTGAGCTGGGGAACTGAAACCCTTGTGGCCTGCCGCCGCCTGCCCCCCCCACCCCTATTCTGTTTTCTGTAGTGCTGGTTGAGTGGTTCTGAGGTCTTAGGAGTAGGGTGGGGGACATCACAGCTTGGCCAGTGGCTGGCCTCTGCCTAGGGTACTAACCTGCTTGTTGCAGAAGTAGTCCAAACACACGGCGCAGGTCTCAGCACCAGGCTCTGGGGGCCCCTGTGCCGCCCTGCCCAACCGGCAGCGCCGAGTCTTGAGGGATGCCAGTCTTCTCACCACGCGGCGCTTGAGCAGGTCCACCTGTGGGAGATGGGCATGCATAGTTAGGCAGGGCTGAGGGCTGAGGCACCGGGACTCCCTTGGGTCGGCTCCCACCTGGCCTCCAGGTTCCCGCTGGCTCTGCCGTGATGCCTGCCGCTGGGCTTGGACCACGAGGCCTGTGCACAGGAGCATGGCCACCAGCAGGATGGCATTCCACAGCTGCTGCAGGGGCTTCTGGGAAGGGGAGCGGGGTGTCATGGATGCTGGGACCACACCACCCTCTTCCCTGTAAATCCACCCTGACGAGATAGGTGAAGTCCATCAGCACTGTGTCTCTCAGCACCAGGCTCCTGGCTTCTCCTGAAGCTTCCACCCCAGGGTCTGCCCAGCTGTCTATGCTCCATCCTACACAGTGAGGGGACCCACATCTACCCTAGCCCGGGCCTCTCCTAAGCAGCAAGCCCGTTGTTGCAACACTCATGGAAGTGTCTATCCTGCAGCCTCACAGACTCCCCAGCCCAGAACCTTGTTACCTTCCCATTCCATCCCTAACCTGCACTTCTGGTCTGCTTTCTAGCCACCATCACCCACCCACCTCCATCCAGGCTGAGCATTCACACGCCCTGAGAGGTCCCCAGTCCCCAGGGACTATTGCCTCGCTCTCCTAGGGGTCTCATATCCCTCCTCTCCAGCCCGCTCCTCTCCCTTTTGGGCCCCCCTGTTCCAGCCTCACCCACCCACTTCCCACCACAGCCACAGGGACGTCATCTGCAGACCTGATCACACAGCATCCCTCCTTGATTCCTTCCCCCGTGCCCTCCCTGCCTTCAGGAGAAAATCCAAACCCCTTCCGCCTGCCCTCAAGGCCCTCAATCTTCCACCCCCTCCCTCCTCTGTGTCTCTTGCTCCCTCTATTGTCTGTGCCTTTCCATACACTGTTCCCCTCTTGGGAACTACCTTCTTCCTTGCCCCTTCTGTTGGCTAGTGTCTTTGGACGCTCCTCGCTCTGGAAGCTCTCCCCGACTACCAGGGCTGGGCAAGTGCTCCCCCTTGCCTCCCCTGCCCAGCCCTCCTCATACCTACTCTATCTAAACCTGTGTTTCCTTGCTGCAGTCCTCCGTGGTCCTGTTGGAGGGAGGAAACCCTGTCAGACGTGCCTCACTTAGTCTTTGAGAGGTTCCTGGGGTAGGGGGACCCAGAGTTCCTGTGGGAACTTAACTCCTTGACTTAACTCCCTCCACATACAATGTGGCAGCCAGGCTTTGACTACTGAACAGCTGGCTCAGGAAATGACATGGCATTGTAAGCAAAGCCCAGCCTGCTCCCCACACCGGCACACCTCACCCGCATGGGCCCACTGTTTCACATGGACTGTGGGTGTTATGACTAATAATGAACACATTCACTTAAAAACTGTCTGCATTCTTAGTAGCTTACTGCCATTATATTCTTCTCCAGTCAATGCTGAAGTTCAACTACCATTGTATGGGGAGGGAGGGGCTAAGAAATCATTTGTTAAAAGAAACCACCACTCTTGCCCTGGCCAGTTTGGCCTAGCAGTTAGAGCGCTGGCCCATGGACCAAAGAGCTGTGATTTTGATTCCGGTCAAGGGCATGTACCTTGGTTGGGGTTTGATCCCGGCCCTGGTTGGGGTCGTGTGGGAGGGAGGCAGCCAATTGATGTGTTCCTCTCACATCAGTGTCTCTCTCTCTCTTCTCTCTCCCTCCCTCCCTCCCACTCTATCTGAAAATCAAAAATATCCTCGGGTGAGGATTAAAAAAAATAAAAAGAAGCCACCACTCTGGACAATGTTAAGTGCTACTACTGACATAAGACATTGCTTTCGCTCAGGCAGAGGCATTCTGGGGGCCAGTGCCAAGAGGCATCTGTGAGTCCCAGCTTTCCTGTCTGTCCTACTCTCTTCCCCCCAGTTTGTGTGTCCCCGCCATCCCTTCATTTGTGGTAGGGTGGTGGCACCCACTCCAGGAAGCTTTCCCCACATGCCTAAGCTAAGCTCAGGTCCCTTCACTATGCCCCAGAGGGCCCATGCCCACCACCAGCTCAGTGCTTGCCCCATCACAGGAACAGTGTCTCTGGCCTATCCCCTCTCCATATGGGGCCCTGTGAGCCAGGACTGGAGCTGCCATGCTGAGCTAGGCTGACACTTGGCCGGGCTCACTAAGTGGCCAATATAGTGTAAGCTCTCAGAGCAGAACCTGGAGCTCCATGATTTGAAGCGACCAGCAAGTACTAGGTGGGCCGAAGGCGTGACTGGCCAGGCTCAGCGCATCTTGGGAACCTCCAGGTGAAGAGGGAAGGCAGGGTTGGGACTTGTCCATCAGACCTTTCTGATACACCGGTGCTGCAGCTGATTCCCCGGGGCTGGAGCTGAGAGCTGGCCCCAGCAGCCTTCAGACACCTCGGCTACGATGGCCACCCAACACTTGCATGGCCCATTCCTGCTAGCAGTAGGACTGCTCAGCGTTGCCCTCAGCCAGCCAGACCGACCTGCAGACTGTTATTTCCACCTCCGGGCCTCTGGGCCCACTCCCAGTGCTCCTCTCCTGTCTCTAGCTTTTGTGCCCAGACTTCTTCCTAGCCTCTCATCTGACGCCCCTTACCAAATGTCTGCCCACCCAGAAGTCTGTGTAGGCTGGCCTCCGGGGGAAATACAGTGGGGCTCCCTTCTCTCTCAGAAAGCCCTTCCATTCCTCCAGCATCAGTGCCTGCTTCTTCCACCGAAGTATGTTTCTTCGTGCTGCTCAGACATGAATTAATCAATGTTGTCTGGGCTGCCAAGGCTGCCTTCGGGTAAGAGTTCCTCTTCCCTGCTTGTCTTTGAGCCCTTCGAGAGCAGGGCCTGGGTCTTACAGCCTTTTGTACTCTCCACAGCCCTTCTCATAGAGCCCCAAGTGCCCTAGGATCTCAAAAGTTATTTGGTGACTGATTATTTATTTAAGCCCTTATAACAAAGATAGAGTAACAGCAGCTGCCCATTTGCTCAGTGCTCACTGTGAGCTTTATGTACACAATTCCCTGACAATCCTGTGGCCATATGCTGTCCTTGTTCACAAATGAGAAACATGAGACCAGAGAGGTTAAACACTCAACCTGAGATCACTCAGCTAAGATTTCAGAGGCAGGAATTGAACCTCAGTCTGCCTGACTTGAAGCTACCTCTCACAGCTCATTCCTCAGACACTTGCTGCATCCCACAGGACTACACAGAGTAGGAACTTGAGAAATGCTTGCAGACAGAATACCTTTGAATCCTCTCGATGCCGAGCACTGGGAAATCCAGAGAAAATAAGACATAGCTCCAGCCTTCAAGACAAAGTCATGCTCTCCAACACACACGGGATGGACTGTCCTAAGAGCCCCATGAAGGGCCTCACAAAGAATACTGTGATTTAGAAGAGGGAGAGAGGGACTGGGAGCTGAGGGTCTTAGGGAGGCTTTCCAAAGAAGGCAAGCAGGATGAGCAATGAGGGCTCTGGCTGGACTGAGACATACGGAGACAGAGAAAAAGGGTGTCCATGCCTGCAGCCAAGCACGGACAAGATTTAGTGGCAGACCAGGGTGTGTGCGAAGGCCAGTAAATGGCACAAGGTGTGGAGTGTGAGAAGACTAGGGAAAAATAAGTGAACAATCAGGAGAGCTGTGAAAGCCAGGCTAAGGATGTTGCATTTTATTCTGTAGGCAATGGGGAGCCAAAGAAGGTTCCTCAGTGGAAGAATGACATGACAACAGCAGCTGTCATTGATTGTGCATGACCCCGGGTCAGGTGCCACACTGAGTACTCACCATGTTACTGAATACTCACAATAGCCCTGAGAGGTGGAAGCGGCAGTCTTTGCCACCCAGGCAGGGAGAGGCCATAGGTTTGAGACAAGACATGTGTGTGGTCCCACCCAAGCCTCCTCTTCCCAGCACCCACCTGCTCCTGGGCCCGACTGCCTCCCAGGCACACCAAGTCCTGCCATCCTCCATAGCCATCCTTGGAGAGGCCACAAGTGGTCCACAGGGTCAGCTTCCACTCAATGTTGGCTGACAGGGACTCTCCACTGGTGATCTCAGCTGTGGCTTGGGTTCTCCTGGGAGGGAAAGCCACCGAGGAGCCAGATGGAAGGACTTTTGAAAAGCAAGGCCCAAACCCCCTCACCCCCACCCCAACCAAGTATCATTCCACAGCCCTTCTGCTTTGGCCCCTAGGCCTTTTCCAGTTATAGGTTTTTCTAGTTCTCATACCAGGCAGGCCAGCAAGGCCCACAAGCCCAGGAAAGAGCCTGTCAATCAGAAACCTGGTTTCCTCCTTGCTAGTGCCAATCCCCTCTGCCCACAGGGCCACCTCTTCACTCTAGGCCCTGGCACCTCCTTCTCGTCTCCTTACCCATTTTTCAGATCAGTCTTAAGGATAAAAGGACAGGCCCTAGTCCCAAGACCCCTGAGCCCATGGTGAAACCAGAGATCCTCAACACCTAGGCTCCCAGGCCCAATCCTTTGGAGCTCAAACCCCAACTCACTGCAGCAGTGCCTCCAACAGCTTGGTGACATTGGAAGAATAATGGAGGACGATCACCGGCCTGAGCAGAAGCTGGGATATGTCTAGCTGTAGGAAAACAGGGAGGTCAGCTGGCCTTGGTCCCCAATTCCCCAGCCTGTGTGACCCCAAAGCCTCATCCAGTTTACCTCTCGGACCACGTTGTGGTTCAAGATGAGAAGGAGCAGGGCAGAGGCTCCCAGGAAGAGTGCCCTCCGCATCTGCAGGATGGAGACAGAAGCTAGCACACACCCTATCCACACCCTGCCCACACACCTGTCGCCACAGTTATTCTTAGCTCCTGGCAGGGCAATGATCCTTTCCTCGGGAGAGACTGGCTATTAGGTCCTTGAGGTCAAGGGCAGAAACCCATGTTCCTCCTGCTTTCCCCCCAGATGCTCTGTGAGAGCCAAACAATGCTGTGCCTTTAACTGTCCTAGCAGGGCAGGCCTGCCATCAACCTCCATCAGGAACTCCCCATTGGAGATTCTCAAAGCCTGGTGGAGCTTCCTGACTCTCTCTGGCCTCCCCCCACCTGTTTCACACCATACTGGTTCGATTTTCCAAACTGGGATCCCTTGTCCCACCCAGACCTAGGGGTATTCTGGAAGCTCCTTGGGGTTCCACTTGGTAGTCTGGCTCTAGCAAATGCCTTGAAAGCCCCTCCTGGAGCCCCCTTCCCCACATACATCCCCTGCACCTGCTGGACCAGGGCCTTGGGATAGGCCTGTGGGCCACTGCTCTGGCTCTCCTGGTGGAACTGGGCCGCCTGCTCCTTGCCCACGTATGCCACTGCAATCCAGCCTTCTACCGGCACCTCCTTCTCAGCATCCACGATGTCCATCTGTGGGGCAAGGAGCCATGGGCAGAGAGAAGAAAGGAAGTTAAGAGGATCAGGCACACAGGGGATGCAAGGCCAGGGTTTGGGGATGAGTTTGGAGGGGAAGGCATCTGAATCTTAGGTTTTGGAAGCCGGAATGCTGGGGGCCTGGGCAGTCTGGGGAGGGGAGGGGGCGCTGAGCTGCCAGGACTCGGTCCAGGATGAAGGCCGGATCAGGGTGCGGGGTCTACGTTGCGGCTGGGGTCAGATGGCTCGGCGGCTCTCACCAGCAGCAGACGGCCGCCCAGCGGGGGCGCCGGCTCGGCCTCGGGGCCGATCCTGACGCCCTCCAGGACCAGAGCGTCCTGCTGCGGCAGCCTCACGTCCACCCGCACGGCGCGGGCCCCTCCCCGCCCCGCCCGGGTCGCCGGTTCGCTGCCGTCCGCCGCGGCCCCGGGCCCTGCCAGGCCCAGCCAGAGCGGCAGCAGGGGCAGCAGCAGTAACAGCGGTGACGGAGGCGGAGGAGGAGGTGGCGGCGGCGACCTCAGCGTGGGGCAGGCGGGGGGGCCCATGGTCGGGCCCAGCAAACAGATGAAACAGAGGCACCGGGGGTCCCGGGAGCCCGGGAGCCCGGGAGCCCGGGCAGCTGAGCAAGCGAGGCCGCAGTCGGGGCGGGGCGCCGGGAGCGGGGCGGGGCTGTGGCCGGACGGGGCGGGGCGCAGGGAAAGGGGTGGGCTCTCGGAGGCTTGGGTGCCCAGTCCAAGCGGCGCGCGCCCCCTGGTGGCTGCGGAGAACTCAGAAGCAGGTGGCGCGGGAGACTGGAGCAAAACGGAGCCCAGGTCACAAGCGGGAAGTCTGGAGAGGAGGTGCTCACAGCCTGTTGAATTGTCAAGAAGCTAAGACAGGACAGCTAAGAGCAAGAGAGACAGTTGGAAGGGGCGACTTGTGTGTTAGGGGTGGGGGGAGCGGAGACACGATCAAGGCTGGAGAACGACAGGAAGGAGGGCTGGAGGCTGGAGTGGCCTGATGGTCCCACTGTGTAGTCTAGGCCAAATCACAACCCCATCTTCCTTGGGCCTCTATTTCTCCCCCAGACCAAACTCCAGGAATCAGAGAACCAGAGATTGGCATGGGAGGCAGGCAGGGGAGATTGAGGCAAGCATCTTAGAGTGGCAGAGAGAGGGACTAAGGATGCTTGACTAGACAGAGCAGCCCGGACACAGCTCCTCAGTGGGGCAGAGAGTCTGGGTCCTCAGGGAAGACACTTTCCTGGACTATGAAATGGGCATGACAAAAGACCTGCACTATCTCTCCCCCAACGAGTAATTTCTGATGCCTACTGGAATGTGAAAGTTCCACCTACAGTGGTAAAACTTGTTCTTTTCTCCAAGGGTTGCTACTCCTGAGAGCTGATTCAGTCTGAAAGCCTTTTATAAATTGCAGTGTGATAACTTGTTGAAGGAAACAGACATACAAGTCCAGGAAGCACAGAGAGTCCCAAACAAGATGAACCCCAAGAGGCCCACACTAAGACACATGATAATCAAAATGCAAAAGGTTGAAGACAAAGAATCTTAAAAGCAGCAAGAGAAAAGCAGTTAGTTACCTACAAGGGAGCTCCCATAAGACTGTCAGCTGATTTCTCAAAAGAAACTTTGCAGGCCAGAAGGGAGTGGCAAGAAATATTCAAAGTGATGAAAAGCAAGAACCTACAACCAAGAGTATTCTATCCTGCAGAGTTATCATTTAGAATCAACGGACATATAAAGAGTTTCCCAGACAAGCAAAAGCTAAAGGAGTTCATCACCACCGAACCAGTATTATATGAATGTTGGAGGGTCTTCTTGAAGAAAAAGAAGATAAAAAATATGAACAATAAAATGGCAATAAGTAGATACCTATTGACAATTGAATCTACCAACAAAATGAACAAGCAGAACAGAAACAGACTCAGAACATTTTGTTGGTTGCCAGATGGGAGGGGCATTGGGGGAATGGGTGATAAAGGTGAAGGGATTAAGAAGTACACATTGGTTGTTAGAGTGACAAATCCTCAAAGGGGAGGGGAAAGGGGAGATGGGAAGAAATAAACCAAAGTACTTATATGCATATATGCATAACCAATGGACACAGACAATAGTGTGAGGAAAGGCAGGAGGCAGGCAGGAGTGGGCAGGAGGGGTTCAATAGGGGGAAAAGGAGAAACATTTGTAAAACACCGAACAATAAAGATAAGTTTAAAATAAAAATAAAAACTAAAAATTGCACTGTGATAAAGGGTAATGGCCAGGTGAGCCACGGCACTCTTTTCTTTAATACTCTATTATGAAAAATATCAAACATACAAGAAAATTGAAAGAATTTTACTGTGAACACTGGTATAACCACCAACATTGACTTTTCAAGATACTCCAGAAGAAGAATAAAACGGAGAGAATAAGACAGTCTGATATTAGCCCAAAGACAAACAAATGAGAGCAGCAAACAGGAGCTGGAACGGGACCCACACACCTAAACATGGGTATGTCAGAGGAAGCAACACAGTTGAGGAGAGAGAGAGGAGGAAGTATGGTGGACTGTTTGATAAATTGTGCGAAGAAAATGGGTTAATCATAAAAAAAATAAAATTGGACCCAGACTGCACATCATACACAAGATATCAAGTACATGTGGATTAAAGACCTAAATATGGCCCAACCAGAGTGGCTCAGTGATTGAGCGTCGACCCATGCACCAAAGGTTCACCAATTCAATTCCCAGTCAGGGCACATACCCAGGTTTGGGTCCAATCCCCAGCAGGCATGCAGGAGGCGGCCAATTGATGTTCTCTCTCATCGATGTTTCTATCTCTCTCTCCCTCTCCCTTCCCCTCTCTCTCTAAAATCAGTAAAACCAACCAATCAATCAATCAATCAATAAATTTAAAGACCTAAAGATGAAAAGATATACTTTGCACATTTTTTAGAAATAAACACAGGAGAATATCTTGATTACCTAAAGTCAAGAGATATTTCCTAATACAGAAAAGCAGATTTAAAGGAAATGATTGAAAAAATTCATGGACCAATAAAATGCTAAACTCTGTAAATGAAAACATTATAAAAAAAGTGACAAGGAAAGCCACATAGTGGGAGAAGGTATTTGCAACCAAGTGATTCATATGCAGAATATATGAATACATTATATGGGCTACTAGATACAAATAGGCATTTGACAAAGGAGGAAACAAGATTGGTCAATAAATATGAAAAGATGCTCAACCTAGTCAAGGAAATAAAAATTAAAATCACTGGCTCCACTGACCTGCTCCATCTAGCCAGTAACCCTCTCTCTGGTAACACTGTCAAGTGTTGCTAGGGATGTGGAGCAATGGACTCTATACACTGCTGATAGGAGTGCAGCTTGGTTGTACAGCCACATTGGAAACTTTTTTTTTTATCCTCACCTGAGGACACTTTTTTCCATTTTTTTTGTTCAGATAGAGTGGGAGGGAGAGAGAGGAAGAGAGAGAGAAAAAAACATCGATGTGAAAGGGACACATCAAGTGGCTGCCACCTGTGCAACCAACCAGGACCGGGGACAAACTGCAACCGAGGTCCGTGCCCTTAGCAGAAACCGAACCCGGGTCTTTCTGGACCACAGGCCGACACTCTAACCGCTGAGCCAAACTGGCCAGGGCCACATTGGAAACTATTTTAAGAAAATAAAACAAGATGCACATTCTCAGGGATCCCACTCCTGGGTATATCCTCTAGAACAGTGGTTCTCAATACAAACTGAACGTTAGAATCATCTAAGAATTTTCCACAAAATACTGCTGCCCAACCTCTACTCTAAATCAATTGAATTGCTATTTCTGGAGGCAGGAACTTGCTACTGAAAATGATAAAAAAAAGAAACTTGCATACCAGGTGACTCTAATGTGCAGGCCGCTGAGAACCATTTCCTGGGTATGTGCAGAGTAGTCCTGTTTAAGTAATAAAAACTAAAAACAGCCCAGTTCTCCATCACTAGAAGAGATAAGTTGTGGTATCTTCATGTGTAGAATACCATGCAATAGAGAAAAATAAATAAATTAGTTATGTGTATAACCATGGAATTATTTATATATTCTTTTTTTTTTTTTTAATTTTTTTTTTTTTTTTCCTCACCCGAGGACATTTTTCCATTTTTTGTTCAGATAGAGCGGGAGGGAGAGAGAGGAAGAGAGAGAGAGAGAGAAACATCGATGTGAAGAGACACATCGAGTGGCTGCCACCCGCACGACCAACCAGGGCCGGGGACAAACTGCAACCGAGGTACATGCCCTTAGCGGGAACCGAACCCGGGTCTCTCAGGACTGCAGGCCGACGCTCCAACCGCTGAGCCAAAACGGCCAGGGCTATTTATATATTCTTAAATTTTATTTTCAAATTATAGTTGACATACAATATTATATTAGTTTCAGGTGTGCAACATAGTGATTAGACATTTATATACCTCACAAAGTGATCACGCTGATAAGTCTAGTAACCAGATGACACCAAACATTGGCTATATTCTCTATGCTGTACCTTATAACCCCATGACTTTTTTGTTGTTGTTGTTGTTGTTAATCCTCACTCAAGGATAGGATATTTTTTCCATCAGTGTTTTTTGTTTGTTTGTTTTTTTGAGAGAGAGTGGAAGGGAAAGAGGAAGGTGGAGGGGGAGAGAGAAACATTGATGTGAGAGGGACACAATGTTTGGTTGCCTCCTGCACATGCCTCAACCAGGGTGGGGTTTGAACCTGTAACCCAGGTACACGTCCTTAACCAGGAATCGAACTTGTGACCCTTCAGTGCACCGGCCAACGCTCTGACCACTGAGTCACACCAACCAGAGCTCGTGACCTTTTTTTAAATTCTCACCCAAGGATATGTTTTAGCGAGAAGAAGGGAGAGAGAGAGAGAAAAACATTGATAAGAGAAAAACATGAATCAGTTGTCTCCAGTACGCATCCCAACTGGGGACGAACCTGCAACCTAAGTATGTTTCCTGATTCAGAATCAAACCCCCAACCTTTTGGAGCATGGGATGATGCTCCAACCAATTGAGTGACTCAGCCACGGCCTGTGACTATTTTTTTTTTTTTTTTTAATTTTTTTATCCTCACCGGAGGACATTTTTCCATTTTTTGTTCAGGTAGAGTGGGAGGGAGAGAGAGGAACAGAGAGAGAGAGAGAAACATCGATGTGAAAGGAACACATCGAGTGGCTGCCACCCGCACAACCGACCAGGGCCGGGGACAAACTGCAACCGAGGTACGCGCCCTTAGCGGGAACCGAACCCGGGTCTCTCAGGACCGCAGGCCGACGCTCTAACCGCTGAGCCAAACCGGCCAGGGCGACCGGAGGACATTTTTCCATTTTTTGTTCAGATAGAGTGGGGGGGGGGGCGGGAGAGCGCGACGTGAAAGGGACACATTGAGTGGCTGCCACCTGCACAACTAACCAGGGCCGGGGACAAACTGCAACCTAGGTACGTGCCCTTAGCAGGAACCGAACCCAGGTCTCTCTGGACCGCAAGCCAACTCTCTAACCCCTGAGCCAAACCGGCCAGGGCTGTTTTTGAATTGATTTTAGAGAAAGGAAGGGAGAGGGAGAGAGATAGAAACATCGATGAGGGAGAACATCGATTGGCTGCCTCCTGCATGC